TGTGCCACTGCACTCCAGCCTGGGCGAGGGAATGAGACTCCAACTCAAAAAAAAAAAACCCTGCAAAATAAATGTTCTTCTGAAGATCACTTTAAGTCCACCTTGAATATCCTGCCATTATGAACTTTACCAAAATAGCTATTGCATGTGTTAATCTGTTTGTAATTTTTACTATTTCAGATACATACTTCTTATCTTCTCTACCTTATCAATTTTTACACTTTGCTAGAATTATTTTTATTTTTTAAATCCAAAAAGAGCACTCAAAATAAGCATTTGTTGAGTACCTGCATTTATTCCACAAAGCAACAATATAAGAAGTAGCTGTGTTTGCCTTGTATTACTTATGATAAAGGGGTTAATGCTTTAACACTTATGTGAAGCCATATTCCCAACATTTGGAATCCTCATAAAGTTAAGGAAAGCTGAGAGTCTAGGTTCCATTTTTCTCTTCATTACTCTTTTTTTCCTATCTGAAATACTGGATTTCCTGAATTTAGCATTTAGTTATATGATGCTCCTTTGGGGAACCAACTCCCACTCATATTTATGTCTTCTCTACCCAATAAGATTATAAGTTGTAGGCAACCCCCTCAGGTTCTCTCCTACTGTGGGAGCTTTTCTGACCTCTCAATAAACCCTGTTTTAAAAAAATTAAAAGCTGCAGCCAAGGGAGTAATTTAAATCTCAAGCTGTTAGAAATCTCTCCCTTTACTGAATACCACAGTTAAACTTTAAGAGATACTTGCCCGTAGCGAATTTGGCAGTTTAAGACATACCTCTCTTACAAGTCTGGTCTAATTTTACTATTAAAACATACCAACTAGAAATAACAAGAGTTAGCTATTGAAGTTCAGCTCTAAGTTCTACAAGCAACCTTCCAGACTGCTCATGATATTTCTAACAAAATAGCTCCAGAATAGGCTGAAGCTACTCTGTAAGGAATTCTATTGCCTCAAAGCTGAATGCCTTATTTCTCACATCCCAGGATTATTTCCAGCAACAAGAAATGGAAGAGATGTAAGGAATTAAATATACATTTGAGTCTAATTATGACACTAGAACAATTTTGCAAAGGCCTAGAATTAAGCATTCTTACTTAATAAGATCATTTCTAACCTTATTCCTCAAATGCAGCTAATTTTTCACTCTAGGCAATATGGGTAGAGATTATAAAGTGACAGAAGAAATGTTTCCCTTAATTAACAAGATACTACCAGACTAGTACTTACTTGATCTGTTCAGCTGATCCTCCAGAAGTTGCATTTGTGATTGCCCAAGCTGCTTCTTTCCTTGTCCGGAACTCAGCAGTTTGTAATATACTAATGAGGGCTGGAAAAATGTTGGCATCTATCACTGTCTGAAATTAAAGAAAAATTTAAATGGAAAAGGAGAAAAAGGTTTGTAAAAATGTTCATGATACTACTAGTAATTTTTAAGCTAGCTTCACAATTGATACCACTCCACTTTCAAAAGTAGACTGGAAAGAATTAAATCCTCATTATCCATAACCTTTAGTCTATGCTTGGTAACTTTAATAACATCCTCCCTGGAGTTAGTGATCTTATAGCCTCCTAATTTTCACCCTGGATTCTTTTCCCTTTTATTTCCCCCTCTTTTTCTACACACAGTAACAAATTATGAAAGTTCAATTTTGTGTTCCTCTCCAGTTCTTATTTGTTTCATAGCATCTGATCTTGCATGTGTGTTGAAACTGTCTAATCCTCATTGCTCATTGGAGCTTCAGCCCAGAGTAGTCAGCAGTTTACCTGAGGTCTACTAGTCACCTCAGACACATCAACTGCCCTCTGTATTTCCTTTTAAGCCACCCTAGTTCACAAAGACTAATGATTTACTTATTCTAAACACAATCAGTTACTAAGTCTCCTTAATATCAATTTAAAACATCCTCAATCCATCTATTCCCCTCCTTTAGCACTGCAGCCATGAAGTGCAGCCAAGCTGCCACTACCCAATCAGATTGCCAAAATAAGCCTTATATAAGGTTGAATGATGTACTTTCACTCACATATTAACACTACACTACTAATAATACACTAACAATATAGTCTTCCCCAAATTACTTTCTTTGTGTTTCTCCTTGGCTCAACTACCCAAAATGGGTTCATATCATTTCCTACATCAAGAAACTGAGTTCTAGCCGGGCTCGGTGGCTCAGCTTGTAATTCCGTGCCTTTGAGAGGCTGAGGTGAGTGGATTGCCTGAGCCCGCAGGTTCAAGACCCACCTGGGCAGCGAGACCTCATCTCTACAATAAATCAAAAAACCAGCCGGGCGTGGTAGCGCATGCCTGTAATTCCGGCTACTTGGAAGGCTGAGGCGGAAGAATCGCCGGAGCCCTGCAGGCCGAGGCTGCGGTGGCCAGGAGCGGCCACTGCACTCCAGTCTGGGTGACAGAGTGAGACTCAAACTCCAAAAAAAAAAAAAAAAGGAAAGAAAGAAACTGAGTTCTGCACAAAAGTCTGGTGGTAGCAGGCAATAAACTATAGATGAAATCACCTCATATGCATGCTAAAAGTTGCATAGCTATCAATCTCAGTCCCTAATTCAGCATCGTGGGGACATTAACCATGTTTTCCTGGTCAAGAACTCTTTCTATTATACCAGTGAAAGAAGTCAGCAAAGCTTAGTGGAAAGACACCTAATCTTGGTCCTGTCATTTCCTAGAGGTCCTCTTGAGCCAGTCACTTTATTTCTTTGAGTCTCAGTTTCATCTTTTGTTTTCTAAATTTTATTTTTATTGACAAATAATAATTTTATGTGTTTATGGGGTACAATGTAATGCTCTGATATAGGTATATACTGTGGTAAATGAGAATGTTGGATTAGATGACCTCTGTTTTCACTCATCTCCAAGTCTCCTAAGTCTGTGTTATATCTTTTCTGAACCATTATTCCAGCCTTGATTACTGCCTATGCTGAACTCTTTGGCCTGTTGCTTGTCTTCCACTGGGTTACTCTCCAGCTGATAAAAAGGCAAAAGTAAAGGACAGAAAACCATTTAAAGAATCAAAGTTTTATGAAAAACTGAAGCAGGCTGGGCACAGTGGCTCACGCCTATAGTGTCAGTACTTTTACTTGAGTCCATGTTTGTGACCCACCTGGGCAACACAGCGAGACTAACGAGACTCCATCTCTACAAAAAAATTTAAAATTAGCCAAGAGTGGTAACACACACCTGCTACTCAGAAGGCAGAAATGGGAGGACTGCTGGAGTTCGTAAGTTTGAGGTTACAGTGAACTAGGATCGTGCCACTGCACTCCAGCCTAGGTGACAGAGTAAGATCCTATCTTAACCCCCCTTCCCACTTAAGAAATTTAAAAAATGTACTACATCGGACCTTTGGAAGAAAAATATTTTATTTGGAAAGAAAAGAGTAAAGCCAATCTGTTTACTATACTATAAATTCTGTCAAGCATTTTGAAATACAAGATGCTATTTCTTGGATCTTGACAAATCATCAAATAGTAGTGGCAATAGGAAGAACCAAGGCCCAGGTGTAAATTTCAAATGACTTAACATCAATAAGCTAGGATACAACAAGTAAGAAGTAGACTAAAAAATAAGACAATAAGGATGGAAGTTAGTGGTCTTCAAGGTAATAATGAAAACAATGTATATCTTAAAGGATGACTGAAAAATCTTATTTATCAATAAAAATGTAGAAAGGGTATATGAAATTGATTACCTGGATCTGAGCCCTATTTCCAGCTGTAATATTAGATATTGTCCAGCATGCTTCCTTTTTGATGGATTCCTTTGGGCTACTCAGCAAATGCAATAAACTCTGCAGAGCTGAGCAATTCAAAATTACCTGAAACGAAAAGTTTGAAATTTTTACTTGCTATACTGTTCCAAAGTAAATCTTTAACTCAAAGAACTTATTTTAGGAAAAGTATAGGCAAAGAAATACATTTCTCCTTGAACTATTAAAAATAAGTAACTTTATATATACATATAAAAGTATTCACCACTAATATGAATTAGTTTCTAAGATTATCAAACCAGTTTCATTGCATAGTTCACAACTGCTAAAACAGTACTTATTAGACACAGTAATGTTATTATAAGTAATTACAACAGTATTTACTCATTCACCTTCCTCTCCCTATAGCATAAGTGTTCTGGATGGGTAAATATACCAAGTGGCTGGAAAATCAGAAATAGTCTCAGATTCTTAACTCCTCTGATAACTCTCTACCTGGTAGTCATTATACTTAATGAACTGTATCAGGTGCTTTATAGGATACAAAGATATAAAAGATATGATTCCTGCTATCAAACAGCTTCTAAAAGGTGAGAGAGGTAAGAAAAATATACATGAATTAAGAGACTAAACCTATCAGAAACCAAAATCATGGTTAGGATGATTCATGTATGTGGCAGGCTCAAGAATCAATCACTGGACAACAGAATAGACATCTAGTTCAGAAACAAATGCAGGTATTTATAAAGAATTAAGTATATAATAAAAGTTAATCCTTTCTTTCCCCCAGTGACTGGTAGCTTTATTTAATAGTATGCTGATGCATAAGTTCATAGCATTTGTGTTTGGCACGGTACCACTGGCTGGTAGTTTATTGTTTCTCATCTGGAGTGATAGTGTTGTGCTTGTGACTACACCTGGCCTTTTGCAGATCTGAAGCAAGTTCGTGCTATTTGTGGGCTAAAGAAGATGGAGTGTCAAGTAGAAAAAACAAACACTTCTGACATATTCTTCTGTTTGATTTTAACAGAGGAGTAAAGACAGCAGAGGTGGCTGAAAACACTAGTGTTAAGTATGGAAAGAATGCCATCAGGGAAAGCACAGCAATAAAATGGTTTTGTCATTTCAAAGAGGGTCACCTTGACCTGAGTGATTCTCCATGTTCAAGAAGACAATCAATCAGGCTTTGATGAAGACTGTTTAAAAGCTTTAATCCATGATAATCCACATCAGTCAACCCAAGAACTGGCAAACGTGATGAACTGTGACCAGTCAACCATTGTGTGACATCTACATTCCACTGGCAAGTGAAAAACACTATAAACTTTTGCATCAACCTAATAGATAGAACTAGAATAAAAGCTACATAGCTGAAAACCATTTTTTCAAAATAAATCCTTAGCCCTAACAGCTACCAAAATAAATGTGCAATCAATTAAGTATAAGTATTTTTAAAAAGAACTAAACAGCATAGGAAAATATCAGAAAACAGCTGATGTGGGGATGGTAAAAGACTTTCCAAGCATAAAAATAAATTATAGGAGGAAAATAAAAAATTCACCCAATAAAAAAGTTTTTCATGTCAAAAATCATAAACTTAAAATGTACAATACACAATGTGAAAACTATTTGTAATAAATAAGAGTTGCTACCTGTATTATGTAAACTGCAAAAAGAAACTGAATTTTTAATAAAAAATTACCTCACAAGTAATGAAACAAATGCAAATTAGGTTGTTTTTGTTCATTAAATACAGCTAAAAAATAATAAAACTTGTAGTTGAACAGGTATAATCTTTCTAAAAACAATTTGGTTATAAATATAAAGACACTTAAAAAATATACACAATTTGATACACATAATTCTACTCCTAGGATTTCTATCCAGAGGAAATTACAAAGCTTTTAGAGTATTTTTTTTTTTTAATCAGGGTCTTGCTCTGTTGCCCAGGCTGGAGTTCAGTGGCACAAGCACAGGATCCTATCTCTCACTGCAGCCTCGTGAGCCACCATACTCAGCCTTCCAGTAGAACATAGGGAACGCTATGAAAAAAGCAGTACATAAAACTATACCACAGTATATAAAACTGAATATAAATGTGTTAGAAAAAATATAAATGAAAAAGAAAAAAGACAAGACTGTGTTACAAAAAATATAAATGAAAAAGAAAAAAGACAAGAATGCAGCAATTGTTAAAATCTCTAGATAAAGGAGTTATGAGTAACTTACAAGCTACTACAAAGTGCCATAAGAACAAAATAACAGACTAATGAGGTTTGAATTTCAGTCACCTTCAAAGTACTCTGACGCAATAAAGCTACCAAGAGGTTTTTTACACTGCTCAAAACGGTTTTTGAATTCATCAATTTTGATACCTTTTAGTGCCTCTGCCATTTATTGTTTCACCTCTTCCACATCAGCAAAATGTTTCCCTTTAAAGACTTTTCCATCCAGGGAAACACAAAAAAGTTGCTGAGGGAGAGACTGGGTGAACAGGGAGGGTGGGGCACAGAGGTAATGCCATTTTTGGTCAAAAACTGCTGATCATTCAGCACAGTGTGGGCAAACATGTTTAAAGAATCTTCTAAAACTTCACTTAAGTCGAATGCAGCCTCTCACAAAAATGCTAGCTGGTATATGGATGCTTATGGGTTCCTAGAATACTTGCCTAGTGAGGGAAGCCTGTACTACAAGGGGCCCGCTCTCCAAAAAACTAATATCTTTTTTTTGGGGGGGGATCCCCCCTCATATACCAAAAAATTAATAGGCCAGAAAGAAGAATGAGACTAAAATCTTAAGGTAGAAACTCCTTAGAGTCTTTCAAGGTTCTTTATCTCATAAATACTAAAAAAGGTTTTTTTAAAAGAAAATAATGTGAACAAAGTTATGTTAGGAAAAATCAAGCAGTTATTAGAGGGAATAAATTGAGAGGAGTAACTGCATGGGCCAGTAGGAGGATAAAACATGGGTACAGCAACAATCTCTATGTGTGACAAGACAGAGACCAAAATAAGGTAATTAGATGTAGACTCAGTAACAGAACGAATTAACAAGAGCTAGTGACTTGCTATACAAAGTATAAGAGACAGGGACACCAAACATGAGCAAAGTTTCAAGTGTGGATGGATAAGAGAACAGTTATGTCATTACTTGATATAGGAAAAATCAAAACATGGATCTTGTTTTTTGGAGAGAAGAAGATACACTTGAGACAAACCTGAGATATGCAAGCCAAAATAGTCAACAGGTTATTGAAGACACGGGACTGGAACTTCAAATAGGTCAGAACTAGATTTTATGGATTCAGAACTTCATTTCATTCAAAAAATATTTTTTGAGTTTCTATATGTTATGCCAGAAACTATCTAATTATACAGACACAGAAATGAACAAGATTAACACAGTCTACCTATAGAATCATACAATCTAATTAAACAGTTACCATACAGTGTGATTAGTGTTCCGGTGGATGAAATAAAAGCAGCAGCAACTAACTTAAGAGTCTGGGATCAAACAAGACTTCTCAGACAACATATCAAGATCTGAAAAATGGTAGACAGATATGTGTGAGGTGGTGATTGGAGCACAAGTGGAGGATGGAGGAATGTGTTCCACAGAGAGGAAACAAAGTATGTGTTAAATCTCAGAGCTCAGAGTGGTCAAGTAACAAACATGGCAAATTCAAGTAACAAACATGGCAAATTCAAGTAACAAACATGGCAAGAACACAGAGCATTAAGGGAGTTGGGGAGGGAGGTGGAGAGACAGATACTTTTTCAGAAAAGCAAATATAGGGTTCAAAAACTCAGAAGGTATAAAGGACTACATAGTTCAAAGCCTATTTCCCATTCACCCCAGCCACCCAGTTCTCCTCAGAGACAACTAATGTTATTACATTCCTGTGTATCCTTTCAGAGAAATTTTAGGCAAACATAATTGAATATATATATGATTATTTTATATAACACATATATTTGTTTTTCCTTCTTCCCCTCTCCTCTTCTGAAATGTCTGAACTAAGCACTGAAAGGGATGAGTAAAGACAGACTAACAGGACTTAGTGACTGATGAAAGAGACGGAGGAGAAGAAAGAACCAAGCTGATGCCCAGATTTCTGGACTGGGCAACTGTTGATGCCATTCACTGAGACAGGAAACATACAGAGGTTCAGATTATACAAGGGGAAATGAATTGATTCCATTCCATACAGACAAATTTAAAGTAAATGCATTCGAGTTGGAAGATACCTGAGAGAACAAATCCAATCTCCCTAATTTTAGAGATTAGAAAAGTGAAAACATTAAACATCTTGCTGAAAGTCAGAGTTGGTTAAGAAAGAGCTAAGGCTAAAACCTAGTCCCTAATTCTTAATCTATACATACAATGGTGATCATAGAAGTTATAAATAAGATCTATGAATGAGGTTGAAGAACTGCCCCCTGGAGGATGCCCATAAACAGAGGGAACAGAAAAGGAGCTAAGGAGAAATAAATGGTCAATGAGACAGAAAAATCAACATATTTCAATATTGAGATGACAGACAGAGAAAAGATGCTACTAGAGGCTTCTAATGCTTACAAGAACTATTTCAAGTAGGTGTAGAGGGAAACAAATCTGCCTGACCAAAAGAAAAAAATCATTATCCAAGGGAATCCAAATAGCTACAAGTAACAGGTCAAGTCAGAGTTACTGAAAGGTATTGAGAATAAATCCCTAAGCCAGTATTTTTAAACATTAGTTTAAACTTTATTGAGACAAACTATTAATTATCACTAATAATATGGAAGTAAATACCATAAACAGAAACGTGACCATAGAGTTCAATGTACTGGTTTTTTGTTTTGTTTTGGTTTTTTTGAGTTGGAGTCTCACTCTGTCACCCAGACTGGAGTGCAGTGGCCGCTCCCGGCCACCACAGCCTCAACCTGCTGGGCTCTGGCGATCCTTCCACCTCAACCTTCCAAGTAGCCAGAATTACAGGCACGTGCTATCACGCCCGGCTGATTTTTGATTTATTGTAGAGATGAGGTCTCTCCAAGTTGCCCAGGCGGGTCTCGAACCCGTGGGCTCAAGCAATCCACTCACCTCAGCCTACTGCTTTTGAAGGGAAAAAAAGTTACTAATTATTCATACCTGTGTCTGGATATCATCCCCTGTAACAATGTTTCCAACAGCCCGCAAAGCAGGAGAAACCACTTTATAATCATTATGCCTGCAACCATAAAAAGAAATGTTATGGCCAAGAGTTCTATCTTTAATCTCTTTTCCTTAGAACAAAAATCCAAAATAATGTGATAAGAGATTTTAGAGCAGAGAGGTATCTATGGTGGTTACCTGTCTGCTATCATGGAACCCTATCATGGTAACAGAATGTTGGGTATTCCCTAGAACTATCTTTCCTTTATTTAGTACTTTTGGAAAACAACAACTTATCTTTCCTTAGTAATCTTCCCAGTTATTCAATCACCTGGATTCCAGGTTTTCCCTCTCATTCTTTAATAAATGTTTCATTTCCTCTTTACTTGGTCTTCTATGGTTGCTGAGATAGTGGATAGCAATAGTTTAACATTTATACGACACACTTAAGTTTAATAAATAGTCTAATTTTCACAGAGGTGAAAATGACACATCAGCAGTGAACTAATTTGAAAATGAAAGTCAGGAGTTACTTTTTTTTTTTGGTTGGAGTCTCACTCTGTCCCGTATGCTGGAATGTAGTAGTATACTCATGGCTACCATAGCCTCGACCTGCTGGGTTCAGGCAATCCTCCCACCTCAGCCTTCCAAGTAGCTGTAACCACAGGTGCATGCCACTATGCTCAGCTAATTGTCTGAATTATTGTAGAGATGAGGTCTCGCCAGTTTGCCCAGCTTGGTATTGAACTCCTGGGCTCAGGCAATTCTCCCGCCTTGGTCTCCCAAAGTGCTGGTATTACAGGCGTGAGCCACCATGCCTGGCCAGGAGTCACATTTCAAATACTGAACTCTTCCTATTAAACCTACTAAGCTACTTTACTGATCCAAAAAGCCCTCCTTCACAGCCCTGTTTATATTTGAAGACAGATACTAAGTCTTGATTTCAAGTTACATAAGTCAACATTCTTTATTTTCCTTAAAGGTCCAATTTTTCTCTCCCTTTTAATAAGACTGGTCACTCCTCTCAAAACTGTGTCCATTCTTTCACATTTAAGATCTGATGACTAAAAAGGAAGGGCTACAATATATGGGAGTCTAGTGACTAAAGAATACAAGGGGTTACTTCCCAGATTTTGAATAATGTACTCTGAGTCCTGTGGCATCATATTACTGTCTTCAATTCATAACAACACTACATTACTCATCTGTATCGAGTCTGTGGTCAGCTATAGTCCCAGAGTTTTGTACTCTGTACATTACACTTTTCTAATCCATTCCAAATGTCATGTTTAGGATAATTTCTACTTGCATCTACTCTGTACTTCAAATAAATTTCACATTGTTTGTACCAATTTTCTTTTATGTTATCACTTTCTTCTTTTTTTTTGAGTTGGAGTCTCACTCCATCACCAAAGGTGGAGTGCAGTGGCATGCTCACAGCCACCGCAGCCTTGACCTGCTGGGCTCAGGTGATCTTTCCATCTCAGCCTTCCAAGTAGCCGGAACTACAGGTGCACGCTACTACACCCAGCTAATTTTTTGATTTATTATAGAGATGAGGTCTCATCATGTTGCCCAGGCTAGTAGCAAACCTGCGGGGCTCAGGAAATCCTCTCACCTAGGCCTTCCAAAGTGCTGGGATTACAGGCTTGAGCCACCGCGCCCAGCCCGCTTTTTTCCTTCTGTAATAATATCTAAAAATTTGACTAATTTTATCTCAAATTATGTATGCCATGAGTAAATCTCCAACTCCATCAAAGGCATCACAAATCTCCTACTCCATCAAAGGCATCACAAAGTGATAAAACAAAATAAGATTTCATGTCTGACACTAGTCTAAATGAAGCTCTAAATGAGACAGATAGGAAGGGACTATTTCTAATGGCATTATATGCCTTTTGAGTGTTTGATCTCAGGTCATCCTGAGCCTGGAACTACTCATATCAGAATTTTCCAAATATTTCTGCTAAAGTACTGCTAATAGTAGGAGTGAGAGGTTCTTTATGAGTCTCAAAAAAAAAAAAAGAAACAAGCAAAAAAGATTTTTATATTAGCATAAATGAGTAACAAAAAACAGTAGTCCAAAGCACAGTAAATCAGTATAATGTACAATCAGTTAATATTTAAGTATTAGCAAAAGAAACTAATATGGTATGGGATAGGGGAGTAGACACACTTTCTTAAAGATATCTTACATCAGCAGCTCCACAAGTCTCCTACATACTCCTGCATCAATGACTGCTTGAATTTTATCATTGGGTCCATCTGATAGATATGAGAGAGCCCAGCAGGCATCAGCCAGTACATCAGTGTCACTGACAAACAGCAACCAAGAAAGTACATTCAGACAAGGTGAAACCTATAAAAGGAAAATGACATGATTATGAAATTCAGTAGAATAAAAGCAGAAATGAAGGGACATACTCAAGAATATAAAGGATACATCTGGTGAATTCCAGGGTGATTTCTACTTCTAGAGATGGAATGGCAGAGTAGCTAAGTGGCCTTTCCATCTTTGGGAATGCTGTCAGTGGTCTTGCACTAATTTGATGAGGAAGCCAGAGCTCAAGGAAAATAATTTCAGGAAACAAAGTTTTATATGTATCAATTATCAGAGTGAAATTCTCTGTCAAAACACATTATTTATGGAACAAAGAGGTAAAGAAACTTTCACAAATGCCAAAGCTAGGAAATTCTGTATTTTAGATACTTTGTTACGAACAAAAAATGCTAAGGTTTTAAGATAAATTTGTAGGTTTTTATAGGCAGTGACAAATGACCCCAAATTAAAACAAAAACAAATAACTACAAAAGCCTTGTTTCTCTAAAAGTAGATAAAATTCTAACAATTTAAATTTTGAAATTTTATAAAATTATCTATTAACATTAATTGATAAATTATTTTTATTTATTGTAGAGACAAGGTCTCACAAAGTTGCTGGGGTTGGTCTTGAACCCGTGGGCTCAGGTGATCAACTTGCTTCAGCCTCCCAAAGTGCCGGGATTACAGGCTGAGCCACCGAGCCCAGTCAATAAATTATTTTTAATTGCACCTTTTCTACCAATTTCCCACAAACATAGTTCTTACCTTTGCAAATTCTGGAGGTGGACTTTTCCCTCTACAGAGATTAGACAAAGCCCATACTGCATTCCGGGTCATGGTCAGGCGGTTTTGCTTTGAAAATAACCTATGAGCATGACGGTACAATGGTAAACTAATGTAACAGTCATTAATTACCTAACAGCATAAGATAAATACTAAACTATTTAATGTTTTTGATAAACAGATGTCTTCAGAGAGCTTTTCTCCAGAACAACAGAACGTCATTAATTCTAATGCAACCAATTTAGAATTTTGGCACTAAAAAAAACATATGGTGCTTGAAGAAATGATCTGAACAAGTTAACAAGAAAATAACTGGATTGAAAATTAACACTAGGAAATCCAAAATGACTTCCAAAGATGTACTGCTTTCTGGGAAATCTCCCATGTTTTTACTATTCAAAAAAGAAAAAAAAGAAAAAAAAGAAGGAAGAAACTTACTGCAAAAGAGGGGGAAGGATATTGCAGTCTAAGACATAGTCCCGGCACATGGTACTATCTCCAGCAATGTTGCCAAGAGCCCAAACTGCCTGTGAAAGAATTATTCATTCATGAAGGTTACACTTTAATTCTAAAAAAGATGCCAGCATATTGTAATAACACTTTTATCAGGGAGTCAAATGAAATAGCTGTGAGACTGGGATAAGAAGATAAATAATATTCTAAAGTGTACAATAAACAGAGGTACTAAGTTTAATAAAAGGACGAGCCAATTAGTCATCTTAAGAGACCTCATTCTCATCCTCAAGTAACATACCACACAGCCCTTGATACAGAGCAACAACACAGCTGATTAAAAGCGAATTTTGAGTTTGCTTATAAGAGAAAATAGTAAAAAAAGAATTTAAGAGCAATGAAAATGTAGATAATTTTACTAAACTTTTGGGAGAGAGGAACGCAATTATCTGGATTGTGATGATGGTTTCATAGGTATGTACATATGTCAAAACATCAGATTGTATGCTTGAAACATACAGTTTACTCTATGTCAATTATACCTCAACAAAGTTAAAAAAGAAAACCAGCCACGCTCAGTGGCTCAGCCTGTAATCCCAGCACTTTGGGAGGCCAAGGCAAGTGGACTGCCTGAGCCTGCAGGTTCGAGACCCATCCAGGCAACTTGGTGAGACCTCATCTCTACAATAAATCAAAAATTAGCCAGGCGTGGTAGTTCCAGCTACTTGGAAGGCTGAGGCAGAAGGATCGCTGGAGCCCAGCAGTCGAGGCTGCAGTGGCCAGGAAAGTGCCACTGCACTCCAGTCTGGGCAACAGAGTGAGACTCCAACTCAAAAAAAAGAAAAGAAAAGAAAACCATACTCATTTAACAGTGTTTTGCCTTTACAAATGTGATAATGTTGAAAGCAATGAAAAATTCATGTTTTCTGTATTCTTCTGCAAAAAAGTGGCAAAGACCTGTGACTTCAATCAACACTAGCAATGTCTACAAGAAAAACCCCTATCAGTAACTCTTACATGGTATAAGCAAACACATCTATAGGGCTTAAAGAATTTTGGGTTTGGAAAAGGCAAACTGTTTTATGTGTCTAGAGACATTCTGCCTACAGTCACTATAAAATTTTCTATTTTGGTTCAGTTTAAATTTCTAGAATACTTCCTGTGACAAAACATGGATTATCACAGCCAAGTAATAAAATTCAGGCTCTGAATATGACTGAAAGGAACATTTTTTATTTTCTTCTGCTTCTTTGTTTCATTTTTACCTGTTCCTGGACATCTTCAAACTCTGAGCTGAGTAACTCTATGAAGATGGGCACAGCCCCTGCCTGAATCACAATCCGGGTCTGAAGAGAATTTCCTGAAGCAATATTTGTCAGTACCCAAGCTGATTCAAACTATAAAGATAAACATAATTTTCATTATCTTGTTAGAATTGAAAAGCTTGTTTACTTAAAGTAATAATGTTTTCTATATATGAAGAGTCTGAGATCATTATTCACACATAATCTATTCATTGAATACTATATTAATTTTTAAAAAGAGAGAGAGAATTCCCTGAAGAAATACCTTTCTAAAGGGATATTCAGTGTCTAAAATTTCAGATCAGGGTAGAGTTGCCATGAAAGCATAAAAAGAATGAGGGAGTGTTTCATATGTTGATATAGAATGATATCTCAAGACATAAATAAAAAACAAAATGCAAACAAATAAACATTAATATATTATACTTTCTAAAAGGGTTAAAAAGAAATATATGCATTAATTTACTTATTCCACAGATTATCTCTAGAAGGAATCACAGAAAACTGTAAATACCTGTTGCCTACATGGAGAAGTTGTACCACTAGGGAACAAGAATGGGAAAGGCACTTTTCACTGGAAAGCCTACCTTTAGGTTTGTACCATGTTATCTAATAAAAAAATTAAATTTAAAAAAATTCTAAAACCCCATGCACACTGCCCCCATCACACACCCACACCATCCCCCATGCATGCTACTTCCATCACACATGCCATCTCCCTATGCTGTCCCATCACACCAAAACAAATAAATAAATAAAATTCTATAGAACGGGCAAAGTGAAACGGGGAAAGGATGTCAGTACAGAATATATAAAATACAGGCACAGTAAAAAAAGGCAAAAGATATTTCAAATGTTAGTAGGTCAAAAGGAGTTAAGAGGCATGCAATTAATAGAAACGTCAACTTCAAAGCATAACAGCTCCCAATAAAAATGAGAAGACTCCAAACCAAGGCACAGAGATAAGACTTTTCAAAAAGAGTACTCTCAACAGGGAGAAAAAAAGAAGGTAAACTGACACTTGAAATAGATTACAGTACTGGCAAACAGAAGATATAAAGGGAATTCTGGCAAACAAAAAGTTAGTATATTACTAATTCTATGTATCTCTAACAATAATAAGTTGACTCTTTAGCCTAATATCGAGAATCCAAGAATGAATGCTTAATTTCTAGTTAGTTAAGAGTTTTAATTAAATTTCAGATTGTTTCTTTCCCCCATTCTGTCTTCTAATTTTTTAATGAAGTACATGCACAGAAAAGAAAAAAATTCAATGGCATGTCCTTTAATCAAAGATAATAACAAGTCATCAAAAGATATACCTATGATTTTGCTAAGCTTTCAGATCAATTAAAAGGCAGCTGTCATATAGAAAACTAAATCATCTTTGGGGATGGGGAAAGATGGAAGAAATGGCCAGACAATCTGAGAAAGCACAGTCCAAAGCTATGTGACTGACAGCAAATTCCTAGTAGAAACCACTGGGAGAAGAAAACATATATTCTGATAAAGATGTCTGGCTTTTCTAGTTTATGAATGAGAAAACTATCAGAAGAAGATCCAATAATTTGACAAATGATTTGAGTAATGTTGTACTACCTGCCAAAGAGGAGGACTAGATTAGCAGCCTCCTAGTCTAGTATGCTATAAAGTCCAGCCATAGTTTCCTCTCTGAAGCATAACTTTAACACTGGTATAGAAATATTTCAATTGCTCAGTTTTAGTAGTGAAGGCAAGAAATTTCCAATAATAGTATGCACAACTATACCAAAAAAAAAAAAGAAACAGTTCACCTAAAATGTAATTTCTTCTGCTCACCAAAAAAATTAATTAATAAACCATGATGTAAAAAAGCAAAGTGTCCTACTACAAGGCAGGCTCAAAGTTCAATAGTCATCAAATACTGCAGTGATGAAGTCAAATAAATAACTGTGAGGAAAAGCATAAGTAAGAATACCTAGCTATATCAAAGAGAAAGAGGACAGCAGTGAGATTTTGACACAAAATAAATGATGGTAATAACCTGGGAAAATAAAGGATATATTAAAGAGTAATCAGTGAGAAAAATTACTTAGGACACTAATTAGTGCTAGTGTTCAAAGTGCAGCTTCATAAGTTTAACACCAAATGTCTCAGAAGAAATGAGGGAGAATTCCAGAAGCTACTCAAGTGAATAAAATGGTGAAGCAAAACAAGTGTGACAATAATTAAGAAAATAAAAAATAAGTGAATAACAGACTGAACATGAATGGTAGTAAGAAATTAGTACATCTTAGTCAAAGTTATAAATTATTACTAATAAATATACAATGATGGTTAATAACCTCTGCATACAAAGATGATCCAAGAATTAAAATCAAAAAGTAGTTGTGCTATTATCAGGGACAAAAGATGAATAATTATAAACAGAGGGTCACTGAAAACAAAACCACATTCATGCACTAATAAGGCATTAAAGGCCAGGCATGGTGGCTCATGCCTGTAATCCCAGGACTTTGGGAAACCAAGGCACAAGGACTGCTTGAGTCCAGTTTGTTTAACACCAGCCCAGGTAACATAGCAAGGCCTCATCTCTACAAAAAAAACAAAAACTTAGCTGGGTGTGGTGGAACACCCCTGAAGCTACAGCAGAAGGATCACCTGAACCCAGGAGATCAAGGCTGCAGTGAGCCATGATTGTGCCAGTGCACTCTAGCCTAGGTGACAAAGCAAGATCCCCCCCACACTAGACAGACAGACAGATAGATGACAGACAGACAAGGCATTAAACACACACAGTTCTGATTACTTTGGTGATTTTACTTTATAAAAATTCATCAAGCTACATTTGCGAAATTTTCTATACCTATGTATACATGCATGATACATATGTATATGAAGGGGGAAGTGAAAAACAATGTTGGAAGAAGCAGCTATCAAATGTATTTAACTTTATGTTTTTAAAAAATTGGATATAATCAAAACTATAGAATTTCCCCTTCTTCAGACTGTATTTTAACTGTGTATCACTGAGATTTGCGGTCTTTTTTTTTTCTTAATGTCTTAGCCTTGAGTATTTAGAATTTAGCATGAGAGTTGAGAAATAGTAAAGTCCAGAATAGATAAGCAAACATATATGCAGAAAGTTAGGATATAAACAGCCACAAAAATTAATTTAAGTAACCACGCGACTCAAGAGAAAATCAGTAACCCAAAGGAAAAAAAAAACAATCTAAAAAATGGTTATCACCAGAAGTAAAAAATGGTATCCAAATATAATCCTCACTTCTTTTCCGTTGTTTTAAACTATATTCTTAATATTCCAAGAACAGTATATACAAGAAACAACCTATTGTGCAGTTTTAACTGCTCATAAGCTGTAATTTCACTATTATTTTTCACTGTCCAGAACTTGCTAAAGAAGGCTGCACCTGAAATCTGCACACTGAAGGATTGATGTTTTCTCTCTCCCCTTTCTCAGTCTCTACCTTCTGGTGCTCAGTTCCTTAAATAAGGAATATGAGAATCCAAAGCTGAAGTACTTCTGACCTCCTATCAAGTTTCCCACTCCAGGTTGAGGTACGCCTGGTTCCCTTTTTCCATTTGGATCACGACTCTGTTGCTGGCCACTTTGCCGGTTCCACTCTGGTTCCTAGCAAATGCCAGGCTCACCTGGAGAGCAAGTGAAAAGAAAGGCTCACATCAGAAAAATAAACCCAGATATCAAACTCTGCAGAGAACAGTGCCTGAGTCATCCGAGCAACCTTCCAGGAAAAGCAGAGAGATCAATGAAAATGGGAAAAGACATAGGAGGATGAAGGCTTACTGCAGTTTATCACATTAAGCTTTTAGGGACACAAGAAAGGCAGGAAAGGGGAAACTAAGCAAATGTAATTCAAATTTACACCTTTTTGAGGAGTACCTGTCTAATGTTTAGAAGTAGGAGGCAACTTACTTACTTCTAGCTATCTTTTTAAAGAAAGTTTGGGAATGAAACATCTCTGCAATGCAAAGGACAGAACAAAGATGCTTGGCCTGGACTCAAGAACCAAATAAAGTGGGCTCATGGAACATACCAAAAAGCAGACCAGTCTCATGACGGGGGTTCGAATATACGACACCTGGATGTCAGTGAGCTTGAGAATGGCATTATTAGCTTCCAAAATCCTAGATTCCACCTTCAGTTTGTGGGCAAGTTGAGTACCTGCAATGCCCAAAGCAGGCATTTTTACCTCCCTGACTTGAGGTGCCTCACTGGTTCGGGAAACCAGAAAGAGAGATTCTTCACTAGGATTCACAGTTCTATATATTAGAAAGAAGAAATTAAGTTTGTCCACAGGATTTATTAGTGAGTTGAACCATCAAATTTCCTCTTGGCACCATATACTATGACTTTCTGGAAGAAAAATGGCAAAAAGCCCTATTTCAAAGATGCACTATTCATATTTCTAATAAGCAGGTGGGAATATCAGAGATAGCTTATATATCAGTGCTCTCCAAGAAGACAGAGGAAGGAGTACCTTCCAAGCTTCCCAGAACATGTCTAATTACTTGAAGACAAGACAGAGCATGAAGTCTCCTGACTTCAAGGTCTCTCTCTATTACATACTTGCTCCTCCTGATTCTGAGATGGTCTGAGTTACCCATTAGTCACACTGGAGAGAGAACATCATGCTGTGCTTATATATGTAAAGAAGAAAAGCTGTAGTTGATAATAGTTAGATAATAAACAGTTTGGTTCTTTCTCAAGAGTCAGGACAGCTAAGGTGAAAACCACAAGGCAGTCACTTCCAAGCAATCATTTTGCAATCTTTTAGACTAATTATTAGCTTTGCACAAAGGTGGAATCTGGGAATTTAGATAGGAAGCAAATTTTAGAGATTTCTGAAGGCTTTAATCTTTAGATGTGTTAGAATATAAATTCCAGGATTACAGAGAACTGAATCCTAAAATGATGTAGAATTAACGTGTTAACCAAAAAAGGACACTGTCTGAGAATATACTGTACTTGTTGGGAAGTACAGGAAAATGCAGAGATGAGGAAAGATCATTTCTCTGACTTTCTACCTTTTAGGTCTGAAGAATTATACCATCTCTCTTTAATGTATTAAAAAACTGGACCTCTGCAACCACCTACTAAAAACTGCTAGATCAAGGAGAAAATTTGATATCTTTCAACTACTCTCATTTCCAGAGACAGGACAGAAACATTTTTTTCAGCATGAACAAAATGATAATTTTCCCTACCTCCCTCTTCCTACAAAGCATTTCAAATGATAAACTGCAGTAAGGCTCCTCATTTGGTCCCTCTGGTTCTCTTGGCAGGTTGCTTAGGGGCTCAAGCTCTGTTCTCTGCAGTGTTGATTGTCTGGATTTCCATTTTTTCTGAGAAAAGTCTCTCTCTTCCCTTGCTCTCAGGGTGAACGTGATTATTTTTCAGGTGTCTGATGATCCTGGTCTTAGATGGAGACCAGAAGGCAGCTAGCAAAACAGAATCTTAATTCAAATGAACATGGGAACTGGTAAACATCAAACTGGAGAAGAAAAACTGATGGGACATTGAAGTACTCTACCTTTTCTGGATTTCTTGTTTTTCCTCTGGAAGGAACTCATCACCGCAACAAAGAGTGTAAAAGAGAGAAAGAGGAGTAGAAGGAAGGGAGAGAAAATATCAAGGCAATCATCAAATCTTAAGAATAATCTACAATGGTCTGGACAATAAGGAACCTGAGGACAGAGGCTATTATTTACAAAAATGCCTCAGTCCCTACATGGCTCCAGCCTTGGAGTAAAGCAAAAGCATATGAGGTCGTGGCACACTGGTGAGCATAGCTGCCTTCCAAAAGCACACATGAACAGTAGGATATCTTTATGACAAAACTGTTATTGGTAAATACATACTTGGAAAAATAATCTCATTTTCATGATCTACTTGGCACCTAATCAATTTTTACAGTTGCACTGTCTCTCTAAAGGGCCTAAGTCCTTCAGATTAGATCCCACAAATGAGAATTTAGGGATCATAGGTATTTGTTACTAATATAGACACTGATTCAGTTGGCTACTCCAAGGAAGTCTACTGAAAAATTATCACTTCACTTAAAATCCAGGGGAAAAAATTCATTTTATAATTTCAAGAAAACTCCAAAGATGAGAGTAAGCTAACAGCTGGTATTTTATTTCAAAAATTATCCAATCCAGAGGTTGCAGAATTTCCTCTTGGAATCCTTATATAATTCAGTATTGAAAGCCTGAATTGACATCGCTAAGCACACAGATTCCTGACAAGGTTATGTCCTTGTCAGCTTTTTGGGGGCTGGTCAAGGATTAATTAGGACAACATTTGGGAATTAGTGAGTCTCCTCTAATCTAACCCATGTTATACACCCCCAGATAAAACCAACAAGTATAATCTAAAACTTGCTCAAAGTCAAATTTTATGTAGCCCCCACAGAGGTTCCTATATATAATGGCTCCTCTACTGAAAACTTTTTCTATTAGGTAAGTACTATCCATAATCATCATAAAATATTTTAAATGATTAAAAAAATCACAAGAATTCTTAAGAGTATAACAGAGATCTACACATAAACAAAGCTATAAAAGCAGCTTGCAATGCAGTTGTAGGAATATCATTATAAACAAATTTAACACTTCACATGGATAAAAATAAGTAACAAATTTGTATACAACATAAGTTTTCAGTAGGAATTAAGTTATGAGGCAAGAAATAAAAATTGTTCGCACCTGTAGTGTACAATTCTCCTTTCGTTTGAGGAACTCCACGAACCTGGCCACTACTCCTGGTGTGCTGATAACTTCATCAATAGGAGGGTTAGGTTCTATTACCCCATAAAATAAAAGGAAAGGAAAAAAATTATTTTATTTCAATGTAAGAGCTTGATGGCTCAAAATTAACTTTATAACATCCTTCCCTCCATTGACCATCTCTTTCATATTGGAAATATACCCAAAAAAAAAAAAAAAAAAGGTGCTGGGCAGGGTGACTTACACCTATAATCCCAAGCACTTTGAGAAGCCATGGTGAAGAATGCCTGAGCCCACGTGTTCAAGACCAGCCTGGGAAACTTGGCAAGACCTCATCTCTACAATAAATCAAAAATTAGCCAGGCATGATGGCACACGCCAGTAGGTCCAGCTACTTGGAGGGCTGGGATGGAAGGATCACCTGAGACCAGCAGGTCGAGGCTATGGTGGCCATGAGCTATGATTTATTGCAAAGCATAATACATAGCAAATTCCAAGGAAGGGAAAATAATTTTTAAAAACAAATTTTTAAATGTAATGGCTTAAGCCCAAGTCTCAGTCACTTTTTTGAGAATTCAGAACTACTAGAGGTGGAAGAATGCTTTTCGTTTTTTCTCTTTTTTTTCCTCTCTGTGATGCTTCCCTTTTTTAAAATGTATTCTTTTCTTTCTTCTGGTATTTTTGTTTCTTTTGTTTTGAAGCACCCTCTTCAGTGGAACTGGATGATTAAGACCTTTTCCTTTTTTTTTCCAATTTGATTTTCTCTTTGCTTTTTTATTTTTTCTTCTCCTCTTCTTCATTTATTCGTTTTTCCTGTAATGCCTGCAATTTATTCAGTTCTTCCTTCTCTTCATCACTATCTTCACTGCTTGTACTGCTGACATCCAAAAACCTAGCTTTTTCCATGAAGACATTTTTTAGATGTGGGACCATTAACCCTCTGGCAGTATATTTTTGATGTGCTATGACTATCTAATATTACATCAGTCTTGTTACTTGATAGTCATGCCCCCTAAATATAGCTATTTGTGCATACTAAACACATGTGTGTCTTTGTGTGTTTGGCTAGTATTGTTACTTCATAAGTTGATTGCAAAATGACTCTACTACAGTCAACACAGGTAATCTAGGTAATCTACCTAGCATAGTTAATGACTATTGCTGAATCAGGTGACCACCTTCCAGTGATGAAGCTATAGGCAGGGGGCAATGTTTTGCTCTTGACAGCGAAAATTTAATAGCTTATATACTAAGATGTAATGTATAAAGACAGTGAAATTCTTCACTGTTGTTTTTAAGTCTTAGGCTAGTAGATGAAGCTGCTTAATGGTCTTGACTAGGACTTTTTAAATCAATGGTTCTACAGGAAGATGACAATTAGAATATTTATAACAAACTTTCACTGTTTTATGACATTCAGAGTTTCTAGTACCTGCCTCCTTGTTTTTGTAACAACTAAAGTATTTCTTCCTTGTTTAAAGAGACTAGTCTAGTTCAGCCTGTTAGTAAGTCTCACAAAGATGATGCTATGTTGGTCAGGATTTTTAGGATAGACTCCTGGGTTTACAAATGTGCCATATTGGCATGTATTAAAGTGATACCTCAAACACAGAAATTTCTATTTAGGAAGACAGCGAAATCTTCATTAGAACTGATTTTTATTGTATTCTGCATGTAAACTTTATGATGCTTGTTTCTATGAGTAATGTGGAAATTTTTATAAATGTGGGCATATGTATTTGCTTTGTCTGAAATAATTTAAATTTAAAGCAAATTTTACACTGAACTTATGCTTTTGTAAATGACCAGTTTACAGTGTTTCTGTATTTTACTTTAGTCACAAACCTCAGGAGTAGTGACCAAAAAAAAAAGAAAAAACCAAAGATAAAACCTAACAGTGGTTCATGAAAAAAAGCACTATTAAGTTCAGTTTACTGAAAATTCAATAAAATATTACTATGCTTTGACTACCAAAATAACTAATGCTATCTTGGACTACACTATCGGAATGAATACTCTTAATATCTGGAATACTGTACTCTAGTTATCACATTTTTAAAGGGAACGCTGGCAAACTAGAATACATGCAGGAAAGTAGCAGAGTAGTAAAAAGTCTTAAAAAAAACAAACACATTATGTGAGAAAACCATTAGGCTCAGCAGGCCGAAAGGAGCCTTTTGTAGAGGAATGGAATGGTGTACTTTTCCTTCAAATATTTAATAAGTTGTCATAAAAAAGACAATTTTTTGTGTTGTGGTAGGTTTTTATTCCACCCTAATCTCATGGGAGACGTGTGTGTGTGTGTGTGTGTGTGTGTATACATATACATATATATATATATATTTAACACTAATGACTCTAAACAACTGTAACTTACTACTGGAGGGGTTAAGTATTCACCAGAAATTCAGAAAAAAATTTCAGAATTCTTTTTACTTGTTCAGGATGACAACAAGTTATCAGATTCCACTCCACACTAAGTATGTCAATATAGTGCCCTGCCCACCAATAAATCCATACTTAACTCTCAGTGGTAAACTGCTAATATTAAACATCAACAACTACTGCTCTTTCAAGTGATGTTTTAAAGTTGTATAAAAAAGAGTTTCTCAATTTGAATTAACATAGGATGCTAACTACTATTCACTCTAAGTTCTTTGATAAGATAGCTCAAAATGAAAACTAATGTGGCTTTCTGGTCCTGGGAAGATCCCACAAATAAATAAGGAAACTTAAAAGTTAGGCATAGTTCACAATTATACATGTATCTGTATATTTCTTTTTATTCTTTTATTGATAAGCATACTCCAAAATAAATTATCTGTGGTATGAAAAAGAGATTATGGGAAAGTATTTTGTAGAGAGATGAAAAATTATACCCAATATAGTCATAACTCACCTTTTGAAAGCAGTTTCCTGAATTTCTGTGTTGCTGAAAGCTGTTGTTCCGGGCTATTAGAAAATATCATTTCAATCATGTCAGAAGTGATGACACCACCCTAGGATCAAACAAAAAGCAAATGCAGCAAAATGTTAACCTTAATTCAAAGGAAAGCAAAGATAACAGTTATTAATGCCAAGTTATTAAGTTAATCATACTTTACATGTAGAAATGTATAGATGATTAGTAAGGTAAAGAAGCCAAATTCTTTCTCTATCATTCAAAAGCTCCTAATAATGAGAAAGTAATCTTAGTAGCGAATACTAAGACAAGAGAGCCAGGCTCGGTGGCTCAGCCTGTAATCCTGTGCTTTGGAAGGCTGAGGTGAGTGGATTGCCTGAGCCCACAGGTTCGAGACCCATCTGGACAACTTGGCGAGACCTCACCTCTACAGTAAATCAAAAAATTAGCCGGGCATGGTAGCACGCACACCTGTAGTTCCAGCTACTTGGAAGGCTGAGGCGGAAGGATCGCCGGAGCCCAGCAGGTCGAGGCTGCGGTGGCCAGGAGCGGCCACTGCACCCCAACCTGGGCGACCGAGTGAGACTCCAACTCAAAAAAAAAAAGACATTATTATTCTTCCTCTCCTTGATCATCAAATGGCTGGCCTTGTTATCCAATTAAATGTTAAGTTTTATGAGAAGACTTTTTATGACCTCCAATCCTGAAGCAGCCCCTCTAGCTCTACCAACATTACCGTATTTTAACCCTGTGCCTAGCCCTTATCACACTACCAGATATTTTTCTGAGTTATTTGTTTATTGCTTGGGTTCCCCCAGTATACTATAATCTCCTTGAAAGCCAAAGACCCTATCTTACCACACTATCACTAATGGTTGGCATATGGTAGATACTCAAAAAATATTTATTAAATGGAGTACAGAATGATTCTGTATAAATTACATATTCTAGCCACTGCCAAGACTTAACTTATTTAAAATTTCTATTTTCTTGTTTTATTAAAATTTCCTATTTCCCACTATTTTCTTCATGAGCAGAACATTTTTATTTCCCACTACTACTTATCCTCAGTATGGGTGGCACATGACTATAGTCCCAGTTAGTACAGATGCACTTCAACTTACAATGAATGGGGTTATATCCCAATAAAAACATCATAAGTTGAAAATATCATAAATCAAAAATCCATTTAGTATTAAGCAATTCAAAAGTGTGACCTCATTTAGTTCTCAAAATAACACTTTAAGGAGAGTATTAAAGTATTTATCATCAAATGAATAAACTATTCAAAAAAGTTATATAACTTATTCAGAGTTACACACCTACCTGCAAGCTGGAGGAGAGGGATAAGATATGAAACCAAGTCCTCAAAAAAAATGTATTTAATACACCTAACCTACCTAACATCATAGTTTAAACTAGCCTAACTTAAATGTGTTCAGAACACTTACATCAGCCTACAGTTGAACAAGTAATCTAATACAAAGCCTATTTTATAAAAGTGTTGAGTATCTCATGTAATTTATTGAATACTGTACTGAAAATGACAAATAGAATCACTGTATGAGTACTCAAAATACGGTTTCTACTGAATGTGTATTCTTTCACACCACTGTAAAGTCGAAAAATACTAAGTCAAACCATTGTTTATCAGGGGCCATCTGTATATTTTCAGTTGTCTAAAAGAAAGTTGCAGTCTTAGGTAGAAGTACAACTTTTTGTTGTCTTTATTTGAGACTAAGTATGGTATAAAGAGATATGTATGGATACCAAATTGATAAGGAGTATAAATTATGATGGTTAATTTTATGTGTCAGCTTGACTAGGGCTTATAACCCAATTATCTGGTCAAACACCAGTCTAGATGTTGCTATCAAGGTATTTTTTAGATGTGATTAAAATCTCTAAATCAGTACACTTGAGTTACACAGACTGCCCCATAATGCAGGTTGGCCTCATCCAATTAGTTGAAGAACTTAAGAGCAAAAACTGAGGTTTCCTAAAGAAAAAGGAATTCAGCTTCAAGAGCCACATCCTTGAAATAAATTTCTCTCTCTCTCTCCTTCCCCCGCCACACTGGCTCTGTTTCTCTGGAGAATCCTGACTAATACAGTCCACAAGACATTTTATATTCATTTAACACCTACTTTTAAAAAATTATAAAGACTAAATGGGCTCGGTGGCTCAGCCTGTAATCCCACGCCTTGGGAGGCTGAGGTGAGTGGATTGCCTGAGCCCACGGGTTCGAGACCCGCCTGGGCAATTTGGCGAGATCTCATCTCTACAATAAATCAAAAAATTAGCCAGGCGTGGTAGTGCACGCCTGTAGTTCCAGCTACTTGGAAGGCTGAGGCGGAAGGATAGCCGGAGCCCAGCAGGTCAAGGCTGCGGTGGCCGGGAGCACCCACTGCACTCCAGTCTGGGCGTCAAGAGTGAGACTCCAACTCAAAAAAAAAAAAAAAAAAAAAGAAAGACTAACTTTCTTAAGAATCTATGTTGCCTATAATGTCTATACAGACACCAAAGGAAACCATAATCCCTATCCCCTCCCAATTCTCAAAGCTGATTAATATAAACTGTAGATCTATGAAGTGAAATAGAGAAAAAAATTATAACATTGTAAATAATATGCCACCATTGGCAAAAAAGGGGTGAGGGGAGAGAATATTTATTTTCTTTAATACCCAGAAGCTCTCAAAAAGAATAAATAAGAATCAAATAACAGTGGTTGCCCCTGGGGAAAATTACTAACTGACTGAGGTAGAAGAAATATATTTTTTTATTTTCTAAAATTTTCCCTTTTGTTCTTATTAAAATCAATAGTACCTCTTAGGAGATATTTTTCTTTTTAAAAAACCATGTATACATACACATACACACACACACACTATGATCTATTTAAAAATTACATAATCGGCCGGTGGCTCAGCCTGTAATCCCAGCACTTTGGGAGGCTGAGGCGAGAGGACTGTCTGAGTGAGGGGATTCGAGACCAGCCTGGCAACTTGGTGAGACCTCGTCTCTACAGTAAATCAAAAAATAAGCTGTGCGTGGTAGCATACGCCTGTAGTCCCAGCTACTTGGAAGGCTGAGGTGGAAGGATCACCTAAGCCCATCAGGTAGAGGCTGCATCCGGCCTGGGCAACAGAGTGAGACTCCAACTCAAAAAAAAAAAAAAATTACATAATCAATTACAATCAACTGGAAACTAAACAGATCTGATCCTGACATAAAAAGCGTAATTTCCATCTCTTTATGTAACTCCAAAAACATTACAAAATGGCTTATAACAGAAAAATCCAATTGTTCTGATGTAGAATTAATTTTTTAAATCATATAAACATGTCAATTTTGAAGTGAATAACAAATTGAGATTTGTTTTAAAATACTTCGTCTTATTCAACTTTTTAAAAATGTTATAATGATCTTTTTAAGTTTTTACAGAAGAATTAATCTTTATAATTTAGTTAATTTTGTTTAACTGTATGTCATACAAAATGTAATCAACATTTAATGAACCAAGGGATTCAGCATGCAGTTTCCTTTTTTGAGTAGTCACTCTATTGGCCAGGCGAAGTGTAGTGGCGCAATCACAGTTTACTGTAACCTCAAACTCCTGGATCAAATGATCCCCCTACCTCAGCTTCCCAAGTTGCTTGGACTACAGACAGACATCACCACACCCAGGTTATTTTTTAAAATTTTTTGTAAAGATGGGGCCTTGATATATTGTCCAGGCTGGACTCTAACTCATAGCCTCAAGCAATCCTCCTACCTTGGCCTCCCAAAGTGCTAGAATTATAGGCACGAGCTACTGGTCTTAGCCTGTAATTTCTTCTTCTTCTTCTCTTTTAAAGGACTGGTCCAATCCCAAGTGGCTATTTTTTAAAAATGAAATTCCAGGCACTTTTTGCAGCCATCTACCTACCTACTCCCCATCCTCCTTTTTCAAGGCAAAAGGAGATCTCTATCTCATATCTTCAACAAAAAACACTAAAAAGAGTTCATTATCTTACTTACTGGTGCCATCTCCATGTTATTCATTTGGGCTTCATGAAAGCCGCCATCTGACATAACTTCTTCTTCTGTTTCTTCTTCTGCTGTAGCAACATTTCTTCGCTTGAATAACTGAAATATAAAAAACAGTAAGTAATGTAATTCTAACATAAGGGAGGAGGTTCAACATTCAAACAACAGGCACTCCACTTAAGATAAAGTTCTCTGAAAATCATTTCAAAAATTCTAAAGCCATCAGCCTTTCTTGATGAGAAACTGTTTCAGATTTTTCCATAGTCTGATAATCAAATACAATTAACTATCACAATATGCTATAACCAATACTTGATAAGGTAAAACTTACTAAGCGAGGTCTGACATTGCATGACAAAAAATGATAAGGACAGGAAAAGGAGCTGGGGCTTGAAATATAAAACAGGATAGTCTTGGCCGGGCTCGGTGGCTTAGCCTGTAATCCCAGCACTTTGGGAGGCCGAGGTGAGTGAATTGCCTGAGCCCGCGGGTTCAAGACCCACCTGGGCAACTTGGCGAGACCTCATCTCTACAATAAATCCAAAAAATTAGCCGGGCGTGGTAGCGCGCGCCTGTAGTTCCAGCTACGTGGAAGGCTGAGGCGGAAGGATCGCCAGAGCCCAGCAGGTAGAGGCTGCGGTGACCGTGAGCGGCCACTGCACTCCAGTCTGGACAACAGAGTGAGACTCCAACTCCAAAAAAAAAAAACAAAAAACAAAAAATAGGATAGTCTTAACAATACATCAAGGAAAATGAGAACAAAAACAAAGTCCAAATGTTTCCCTCCTAACCCTCAAAGATAGTGAATTGAGGTTTCTGGCCTTCCCAACCTGTCCAGCAACCAGTGACAACAAATGACAACTGCTTGAACACTGCCTTTAAAGCATTCATTAACCTATGCAGGAAAAGAAGAATAGTTCTCTCCGAAGTTAGCCAACTACAGTGACTTCCATTTTATCCTTAAGAGTGTTGAGCAGCACACTTATTCATCAAACCATGATGGAGTAATAGTAACTTACCCTGACATCCTAAACAACTGAAAAGCAGACATAATACATAAAATAATGTGTTTCAGTCACTAAACAACAAAAAACACAGAGCCATGATCCCTCAGAAAGAAAAAAACAAGATAAGCTTCGTGAATGCCTCAGATTATTGTCTAAACAGAGTTTCCAGGCTGCAGTACAGGGAGGGAAAACCCCAATAGAGCTTTAGAGGCTCCTTGAATTGAGGAAACAGAGTTCAAAACTAAGAAGGCAAAGACATCTAAATTCACAAGGCAGAGTACAACACAGAAAAATTGCCAAAGCTCTATAGAAGTCCCTTTGAGTCTCAACTTAGTATGGATCAGTAAATAACTATGTTTTTCATCAAAACACTGCAACAAATGAAGAATACCATATATGGGCTTCTTAGTAAACTAGACATAGCTAAGGAAATAATGTCCCAGCTTGAGGATATCTCATTATAAACTTCCAAAACTGAAAACAGAAAAAAGACTGGAAAAAAAAAAAACGAACATCCAATAAGTGTGGGGCGAATGTAAATGATATAACAAACATGTAATAGGAACACCAGAAGAGAGGAAAGAACAAAAAAAATTTGACACAATGACTGAGAATTTAGCACAAATTAAAGTCAGACACCAAACCACAGATCCAGGAAGCCTAAAGAACACCAAGCAGGATAAATGTCAAAGGAACCCAATACACCTGGGGATATTTTTTCCCAACAACAGAAAATCAGAGATTTTAAAAAAAAACTATAAAAGTCATCCAAAACAACATCATACCTATACAGGAACAAAGATAAAAATTACATCCAATTTCTCCTCAGAAACTACAAGACATAAAGTGAAGTGACATATTTAAAGGGTTGAGAGAAGAAAAACACTAACCTAGAACTCTGTACCTTGCAAAATTATCCTTTAAAAGTGAAAAAATAATAATAATAAAGACTTGCTCAGAAAACAAAAAACTGCGGGTATGTACTGCCAATACACCTACTATGCAAGAAATACTGGAAGTTCTTCAGCAAAAAGGAAAATGAGCCAGGCTCGGTGGCTCAGCCTGTAATCCCTCGCTTTGGGAGGCTGAGGTGAGTGGATTGCCTGAGCCCGTGGGTTCGAGACCCGCCTGGGCAACTTGGAGAGACCTCATCTCTACAATAAAATCAAAAATTAGCCGGGCATGGTAGCACACGCCTATAGTTCCAGCTGCTTGGAAGGCTGAGGCGGAAGGATCACCGGAGCCCAGCAGGTCGAGGCTGCGGTGGCCGGGAGCAGCCACTGCACTCCAGTCTGGGCGACAGAGTGAGACTCCAACTCAAAAAAAAAAAAAAAGGAAAATGATATAGGTCAGAAACTTGGATCTATATGAAGAAAAGAACATCAGAAAATAAGTAAAGGTGAAATTAAAATGTTTACCCTTGTTTTATTCTTAATTGATTTAACTAGTATTTTGTTTAAAATGACAATAGCAATACTGCATTTTACTACATATGTTTATGTGTATAAATGTATCAATACATATTTCTGTACAAATGAATAACAGCAATGATACAAGAGATGAAAGAAAGGAAGATCATCTTTTATCATGTTATAAGGTACTACCTGTGAAGAGGTATAGTGTTATTGGGAAGCAGACTTAAAATTTTTTTGTGTTTTTGTTTTTTTTGTTTTTGAGTCAGAGTCTCATTCTGTCACCCAGGCTGGAGTACAGTGGCACGCTCACAGTTACCAGAACCTCAACCTGCTTGGCTCAGGTGATCCTTCTGCCTCAGCCTTCCAAGGAGCTGAAACTACAGGCACAGGTCACCATACCTAGTTAATGTTTTGATTTACCGTAGAGATAAGATCTCACCAAGGCTGGTCTCAAACCCCTGGACTCAGGCAATCTTCTTGCCTTTGCCTCCCAAAGTGCTGGGTTAACAGGAGTGAACCAGTACACCCAGTCAGAAAGTGAACTTGAATTAACTGTAAATGTATACTGCAAACGCTAGAGAAACCACTAAACAAAGTTTTAAAAAATGGATCAAGAAACAAGACCCAACTATGTCTTCTATAAAAAGACAAAGATGAAAAGTAAATGGATATAGAAAGATATGCTGTATTAACACTAATCCAGAAAGCGAGAGTAGCTATAATAACTTCAGACAGAGCAAGTGTCACAGCAAGGAATATTATCAGGGATAAAAAGAAGCACTGCATAATGATAAAGAGGTCAGTTAGGGGTTGCTATGTCCAAGAAGACACAACAATTCCTAACCTGCATAAGTCTAACAAAGAAGTGTCAACATATATAGGCGAAAAGTGACAGAACTGCAAGGAGAAATAAATGAACTGGCTATTATAGTTGGAGACTTTAACACCTCTCTATCAGAAATGGACAGATCAAACAGGGAGAAAACCAATAAGAACATAATTGACTCAACATCATCATCAATCAACTGGATATAAGTTCATGCAAAAACATCAGAATATACATTTTTAAGTTCACATGGAGCATTCACCAAGATAAACCACATTCTGGACTATAAAACATACCTTAATAAATTTAAAGATACAGAAGTCTTAAAATGTCTACTCTCAGACCACAGCGAAATTAAATTACAACTCAATCACAGAAAGATAGCAGAAAAATTCCAAAGTATTTGGAGATTAAACACACTTCTAATAACACAGGGATCAAATAAGAGATCTCAAGAGAAATGGAAAGAAATTTTGAAATAAATGAAAATAAAAACACAACTTATCAAAATGTATGGGATGAAGCAAAAGCAGTGCTTAGAGGGAAAATTATAGTCTTGAATGCATATATTAGAAAAGACAAAAGATCTAAAATCACCTAATCAATTACTTTAGAAAACGAGAAAAATAAAAGTAAATTATAACCAAAGTAAGCAGAACAAGTATAAAAATGAGAGCAGACATCAATGAAATTGAAAGCAGAAAATCAATTTTAAAAAAACAAACTAAAAGCTGGTTCTTTGAAAAAGATGAATAAAATCTATAAACCTCTAATGAGGCAAACTAATAAAAAAAAGATGACTACAAATTACTAATATCAGAAATGAAAGAGGGAACATCACTACAGATCTCATGAACATTAAAAGGATAATAAAATAATGCTATGAGCCGGGCTCAGTGGCTCAGCCTGTAATTCCGCGCCTTTGGGAGGCTGAGGTGAGTGGATTGCCTGAGCCCGCGGGTTCGAGACCTGCCTGGGCAGCGAGACCTCATCTCTACAATAAATCAAAAAATCAGCGGGGCGTGGTAGCGCATGCCTGTAATTCCGGCTACTCGGAAGGTTGAGGCAGAAGGATCGCCAGAGCCAGGCAGTCGAGGCTGCGGTGGCCGGGAGCGGCCACTGCACTCCAGTCTGGGCGACAGAGTGAGACTCCAACTCAAAAAAAAAAAAAATAATGCTATGAACAATTCTTATTGCCACAAATGTGATAACAGTCAAAATGAATCACTTCCTTGAAAGACACAAACCACCAAAACTCACACAAGAAGAAACAATCTGAAAGGTCTATATTAAAGAAACTAAACCAAAAATAACCTTTAAAAACAGAAAACGCCAGGAACAGACGACTTCACTGGTGAATTCTGTTAAACATTTAAGGAAAGCATTATACTAATTCTCTACAATCTCTCACAGAAAATAGAAGCTGAAGGGATACTTCCCAGCTCATTCTACAGAGGCCAGCATCACGTTAATATTAAAACCAGACACAGACATTACAAGAAAACTACAGGCCAATATCTCTTTTGAATACAGACGCAAAACCCTCAACAAAATATTAGCAAATCAAACCCAACAACGTATAAAAAGAATCATAAACCATGATCAATTAGATTTCTCCCAGGTGTACAATACTGGTTCATTATTTGAAAATCAGTTAGTGTAATCAATCAAATTAGCAGGCCAAAGAAATCATATGAGAATATCAACATGTACAGAAAAGAGTTTGACAAAATTCAATACCCATTCACCACTCACACTCACATACATACACACACACACACACATACACACAAACCTCTCAGCAAACTAGGACTAAGGTAAAATTCTTCAACTTGATTAATAACATCTACA